TCATCCACATGTGTCACCATATTGATATCATCCACATGTGTCGCCATATTGATATCATCCACATGTCACCATATTGATATCATCCACATGTGTAACATATTGATATCATCCACATGTGTCAACATATTGATATCATCCATATGTGTCAACATATTGATATCTTCCACATGTGTCAACATATTGATATCATCCACATGTGTCAACATATTGATATCTTCCACATGTGTCAACATATTGATCCCTTCATGTGTCAACAAATTGATATCATATACATTTTAACAAATTGATGTAATCTCCAACATGCTGACCCTGATATCAAGCACAGAATGTGCCTGTGATATTGCTCACAACATCTTGCAAGTCTTGACATGTCCATTTGAAATAACACATAATAACCTTCAACCCTCAATATTGTTGAAAGAGTGCTCCCTGTTAACTTACCCAGCTTTCGGCCATTACGACCCATTAACATTTCATCTATTGCCGTTTCAGAGGTAAAGTACAATATTTTCTTTGACATTCAATTTCTATTAACAATGTTCTTTGTCAAGATACTGAAGACATTTTTGATACCAAATAACAATAAACTTTCTGACAATAGGTCATTTCTCAATTCACCTGTTTCCAGGATTATTAAAGTAGCCTTGGTTCTATAAGAGATCCTAATCAGATTTACATTGAAACAAATCACATGATCTGACACAAACCTAATTTTACAACAAGGAGTGCACAGCTATATTAGATTTACTGTTTTGTGAAGTCTTTAAAGTGTTTCTGAGTAACTTTATTGTTAACCCTATTTGGTTCAATATCCTTCCAATTCCCTGCATACCAAACTCTCATTAATAAAACTATATTTAATTTGTTGTAAGGGAAGTCTTATCAGGATAAGAGGGTTCTTTCAATTATGCACGAGATTGAACATACTCAAACAGAGTGAGTGAGTATTGTTTAAAACCACTTTTAGCAATATTTCAGCAATATCACAGCTGGGATACAAGGAATGACTTTGCACTTGGTACCTAAGTAGGGAAATGAACCTGGACCTTCAGCATGATGAGCAAACACTCTAACCACCAGGCCACCCAACAGCCCCACCCAGAGAGAATAGCACATGGCATGAATGAAATCTTAATTTTTTCTTTCGAAAATGAAAACTTAAAAAAAATAAATATTCAAAATTTGCACATGTTTTTATGACCTTTTCATATGACAAAAAAGAAATATTAGCATTTCCTTTAAGCATTCTTGGTAAATGAAAACTTGAAAAAAATAGAACATTATAAACCTTCTATCCTATTTTCTCATCACCTTCCTGTAAGGCATAAAAGAAATATTAGTTTTCCCTCACGGAAAACTTGATACAATAAAACTTTCAAAAGAGATTTTAAATCTTCCAACCTTATTAAAAATCTTCCAACCTTATTTCCAGTAACCCTTCCATAACAGAAACATATTTTTCTGCAAGAAAACTTTATCTTCAGCCTTCAATCCTTTGCTTGTACGCAATTTCATGTGGCATCATTAGTTTTCTCTTAAAGCAAACATGCTAAAACAGAAAATTCTTCTTCTGATCGCCCTTTCTAGAAATATGAATAAATAAATCACTGTCAGGCAGCATCAGTGAAAATACTCATAGCTAAATGGCGGGCATCAACAAAGGTCAGCTGGCTAAAATCATGAAAGAAGGAGCTTAAAGATACAGTCTAGACAAAAAGACGAGACTTACAGGGATCATTACGGCATTAACAAGCTTGCTTGCCAAATTGCATTATATTTCCATGGAATTACTCGGAACCGGTAACTTAATTATTGGTTAATTGCTCTTCTCACGCTGACCCTCACAAACCCTCAATTTTGAGGGTTTACCACAACACACCAGATTTGCTAAGTCAAGTAACTACCTTGTCTTAAACACCTTGATATCCTGCAAACCCTTTAAATACTATTTCCTCCATCGTCTCAAAACTGATTTTATGTGTGCTTCACCTTGCATGCATGAATATTAAAAATCCACATGCTTTCCATATTTCAAAAGAAGTGGAGAAATTAGGTGCTGCAATAATTTGGCTGAACAAAATCTGTGTTAATTTACATTTTCAAAAAGATACATCCTCTACAGGCTTTTAATGTTCATGAATAGTTTTGATTAAGGTACAATACTTTTCTGAGAGGGAATTTTTTCAAATTTAAGATACACTTCGGAAAATATTACAAATTACAAATTTAATATTACTTTTGTAAATGTCAAGGTATATCATAACACACTAATCAGTGGGATGCACAACATGTTTCAGTGGTATATGATATTCAGCCTGTCAGTGTGTTGTATCAGAGTACATATAGCCAGATGAAATGTCAAAACAACACTTAAAGAAACCTTAAACTGGAAAAAAATGACCGATTTTCTTGTCCTTTGTGTTTCAAAGAAGCAGAACAAAGTAGATCACCATAGTACTTTACATTTTGCATTCAGCACCTTTGTGCCAAAAATCCAGCTCAATAGGTAGAAATAAAACATAATAAATATGACATTTCATATTGATCTTCTCGATCTTCAGAACTTGATGCTGTTGACATAGCATGTTGTGCAACCTATTGTAAACTATTATGCAAGTTAATTCTGTAACACAATCGTGTGCCTTCTCAGTTCTTATGTACGTTAACCTAGTCTTTCTTCCATGAAAATCCTGAAAGCATGTCATCAAGTTCCGATATACTTGCATGGATGTATTTCCAAACACTTCTACCTATCTAAGCCATTAATCATGTCATATAATCATCATGAGCCACCAAGATAAAAGTGGCACGGTGGGCGAACTGGCTAAAGCGCCAGGCTAGTGATCCAGCGAGCTTGAGGTGACGGGATCGAGCCCACCTGTGACCGGGTGTAAAAACCTTGGAGTCAACTTTGTGTGCAGACTCTTTCAGTGTTGTCACAACCCCTAGTGTACAGTACACAACCCTGTGCACTTAAAAGAACCCACGAATCCGTTGGTATATGACCAGATGGTGGCCACATGAATACGTGCAAACACCTAGTTGCGGGTACAGCAACGTGCAGTAAACTTGGACAAAGTACTGTGACTATGTGTCCCAGTCCACCCAGCTGTGAATGGGTACCTCGTAAGGATGGGAATGCCACAATAACTCGGTGCGCCTAGTGGCTGCAAGAGTTGTATACTCCCCAGGGAGTTGAGATTGACAATACGATGTGCCGTTGATATTGACATCCAGTGAACGAGGGAAAAACAAAGCGCCTTTGAGCAGCAGAGCTGAGCTGGATATCGGCGCTATACAAATGTTAGTATGTATGTATGTATGTTTCAGAGAAGAACCATGTTCAAACCACCATCATAGTCAATTTCAAGTGCTTAATGGACTCAGGATAAATTCCTTATAGCTCTCGATCCTACATTTTTTAAAATTGATTTCAATGTGTTTTGTTTGTTTCAATGCGAAAAGCTCTGTATGCATGCTCTTCACACAAATGCATGCAAGCAAAGCAATACACACATTTGGGGTGGGTGGGTGGGGGTGTCTGACCCAATCATCACAAAGCAACACTGAACTCATTTCTGACAACTTCTTTTTCAACCACTACAACCAAAAATATTGTAGACAATCGGTTGGTTGGTTGTTGTTTAACGCTGCACTCAGTAGCATTCCAGCTATATGGCGGGGATCTGTAAATAATCAAGTCTTGACCAGACAATCCAGTGATCTGCAGCATGAGCATCGATCTGCACAATTGGGATACGATGACATGTGTCAACCAAGTCAGCGAGCCTGACCACCTGATCCTGTTAACCGCCTCTTATGACAAGCACGGGTTACTGAAGATCAATTTTAACCCGGATCTTCACAGGTTTTAGGAATCTATGACCACCTAATCATCATATGACAAGCCAAACCCAGTGATACTCTTGGGTCCCCTGTCTGATGCCAGCTAACCAAAGATCACTAGCAGTGAAAATCTGGAATCCAAACCATGCAGATCCTGGCATGGCAAGGGAAGCAACTCTGCACAACTGCAGACCCTCAATGACCCTGACAATTTAAAGGTCACAAATCAAAAGTGCAATATTTTGTACTTGGGTTTACCTCCCTCAAACTTAAGCAGCCGGGATAACCGAACCCAGTCAGAGCAGGTGGGTGTGCACTCAAGTGTAACGGCTGGTTCATTAGCAGATGCCGCCTTCACGGTTCATTGTGTGTGTATATATAGAGATGTTGGGTTTTGTAAATACATGCTCATTTTTGTGTATAACATTTTGCAATCAACAGACATCATAACATGTCATGTGTTTAAGTATCACACCTGCCTGTCTGTGTAATTACATAATGTGACAGAGACCAACTCGGGCCATAAATCAATGTGTTTTGTTTATGGTGTATAGCCTGATTGGTGTTAAGTTCAAATTGCATGTGGTCAGTGATTGCAGTTGTGTATTGAATATTGTCATTAGCAGACAGGCAAGCAGACACACAGGTGTCAATAAAACAAGACATTGAGTTTTGTCTGTGACAGCTACATATCTATATCACAGTTATAAATTGTGTCAACGCTTAAATGGTTTTACTTTAACAGTCAGTCAGTATAGTCCAGCGGGTTGTGGTTCACTTGAAACTGGGTTTGAATCCTGATACGAACATGCTTATTCCTTGCTGTGTTAACAATAACTGTTAACATCCACTTTTTGATTAAAATTTAAATCAAAATCAACAGAGATTCATTAAAATGTTAATTTACTAAAAGAGGAAATATCCACATTCCATTAAGAACAATTAAGTAAAAATACAAAAATAACCTCTGTGATAAGATTAAAAAATATATATACAATCACCTGGATATAAATATCAAAAAAATAATAAATGTTAAAAGCCAGAAAGAGCATAATATTCAAAGCACAGATTATGATACAGATATAAAATATATGTTGATATATTTGATATATACAAAATACATTTGATACCAGTCACCCAGTTGCATAACCTACCAGATAGAGTTCTCTCCCCTTAAAATGGAAATCAGATTTCATAAATAGTAATACGAGAGGTTTGCTTTTAATCTGAACATTGAGAAAGAGTTTATCCATACCTGAAAATAAACATGTCTGGGAAATATGTGGCCGAAGCAAGTAATGACAAAACCGATTCTATTTTTGTACGTCAGTAGCCTTGATACTTAAGAAAACATGTTTTCGTATCCAAACTTTGTTCAGACAGACAGTAGGCTTTTCGGATAAAGCTTCAATTACAATCTGATTGACCAAACAGTTCTCACTCCTCAGGGCAGTAGAACAGCATGGACATTAAATTAATACCTTGGTTAGCAAAACTGGCCTTAAGCTGTTTTGATTGTAATCGAACAAATCACAGCTCCCACACTTAAAATAATTCTGTAAATGTTTCCGATAAAAATACCCATTTTTTGCTTAGCAATCAAATCAGCAAATGCAAAACATCCTCCAAATCATCAACTAATCAATGACAGATTTTACTTGTATGATTCTCTGTATTCCAGATTTATTTGAGAATACCGTATTTCCTCTCTGTGACACCCAGGTATTTATCAATTTCAAAATGGCTTGGGGTGTTTTTGAGGTCCAATATCTATATTGTGTAATGCTGGATTGCTGGCAACTCACTGCAAACCAAATCCCAAAGTCTACAGAGACACAAGAGAGTGAGTTTAGTTTTATGCTGCACTCAGCATTATTTCAGCTATATGGTGGCGGTCTGTAAATAATCAAGTCTGGACCAGACAATCCAGTGATCAACAGCATGAACATCGATCCAAGCAATCGCGATACGATGACATGTGTCAACCCAGTCAGCGAGCCTGTCACCCGATCTCGTTAGTCGCCGCTTTGAACCATGGGTAACTGAATACCAACTCTAACCCGGTTCTTCAAGGGTTACAGTCGCACAAAGGGTACATTTGGCCAAAATGGTCATAATTTATCACCAAAATATAACAATATTAGAAATTTGGTTTCTATTTCTTTTTTAAAGACCAAATGTCTCAGCATCAGTGAGAATCTGTCATGACTTAGATGTCTGGTGTTTAAGAGAGGAAATACTGTTTGTGTCTGTAGTTAGAAATACTATTTCAGTAATCAGATAACTAACATAGCAATGAATGGAAAAACCTCTTTGTAACATACTGCATTCAAGAAACATTCTGGTGGCATGTGGCATATGTGTGAGAGGTCTCAAATCAGGTGATATAAAGAAACGTTGATTGTGGAGTGGATTTCGATTTGTCTCCTGTGACTTTTCTCAAAACCTGGGTCTGTTCTCCCAGCTATGACTGGGTACCTGGTAGGAAGAGATGGTAACCCATTTACTGCATAAGGTTGACTCGAAAGTGTTCCTAATTCTTCAACCCTGCCCTACATTGATGTACAGGTTAAATTTGTCTCCCTTAGCAAGTGACTCTGTTCACCCATCTATAACTGGGTACCCGGTAAGATGCAATGGTCCACCATCTCCTGCCTTCAAAGTTAGCTTGGGAGGATTACTCATAGAGAGCAGAGTGTGTTGTTCCAGGGCACACAGACTGGGCGTATTTGATCTCACGAGATTTAGCATTATCATATTCAATGAAGCCCTCATAAAATGATTACATCAAAGCCTCTCTGGGATTGCAATCAATACCAACAAAAAGGCCCACAGACGCCCAGACAACCAGCACAATTTGCCTTACCTTGTCGTAGTCTTTTAATCTGCTGTGAAGGTCGGCTGCTTCAAACGTCAGTTGAGTATTTCTGGCCTCTGAAGTCTTGAGGTCTGTTTCCTGCAAATTAAAATGTCTCAAAAGTTGCTGCTCTGCTCTATCTTCAAACAAGAAAAGAAAAGTTGGGTTCTCTGGAAGCAAGATCAAATTTTGACATTCGTTTTTTTTCTATTTGTGTTCTGTTGTTAAAAGTAAATCCTACCTACTGAATATCCGGCAGAAATTCTGGGTGAGGTGAGGTGAAATTGGGTTTAACGTCGTCCTTGAGAATATTTCGCTCATATGACGACGTGCATGTGTGTGTATGTGTATGTGCGGCTGCTTGTACTAGCCCAGACTTAAGCTGGTTTTATAGTGCTAGCCCACTGAGATACCATGCCGCAGTGAAGCAGGAATACCTCACTCAGACACATTATACTGACTCCGAGCTGACCAGTCCTTGTTGTACCCATTAATGCCGAGAGCCAGGCAGGGACCAACAAGTACCATTTTTTAACGTCTTTTGGTATGAAGCGGTTGGGGATAAAAAAAGCGACCTTCCGCTCTCCGGGCGGACGCTCTAACCACTACACCACGGAGGCGGTTGCAGAAATTCTGGAAATCCCTCCATGGCTTTTGGCCAAAATTAGATTCATCGGAATAGTGAGTTTAGTTTAGTTTTACACCGCACTCAGTCTTCGGAATAGATTTCATCGTGAGTGAGTGAGTGGGTTTTGAGTGCATGAATGAGTGAGTGGGTGAGTGGGTGAGTGAGCCAATGAGCGAGCGAGCAGGCGATAATTGAATGAGTACAGGAACAGTGCTGGCAAACCAAGAACCATAATGATAAATGTTTCATGTCGACACTTTGCTCAGCCACCTGATTTTCCTTAATATCAGGGATCACATTCTGCTACTTTTCTCCAGTTCCGAAAGACTAACCCCATTTATGTTCAAGGTTCACATGTTCAAGGTTAACATTTGAATTAAGTCTTCCAAAAGTCAAAATGTAAAATTTAAATTAGGTTGAAAGCTTGCTGGCAATTCTTCAAACCCCAGTATATGAGTACTGTTTATAATACAATTGTAAATAAAAAAAAATTTTTAAAAAAAAAAATAAAAATAAAAATAAAATAAAAAATAAAATAAAAAAAAAATAAAATAAAATAAAAAAATAAAATAAAATAAAATAAAAATAAAAAATTCAAATAAATACAATTTAAATAAGATAAAATGAAATAAAACAGTGAACTGTCTTTTTGAAAATAAACTTGGTCTATACAAACAGCAAACTTAAAAAAATATCTGGGATCATGTACTTACCAATTCTTGATTATGCTCTCTCTGTTTTTCTATGCTAGCTTTTAAAATATCACATTGTTCTGTTTTCTGTTTCAGGTCTGCATCCTGAAAGGAAAGGAAAGTTTTGTTAGGAAAATATCATCTTGTTTACCACACACAATGTGAATTTGTTTATAGGTGAGCATGGGAAAGGTAACAATTACCTTGATACTCAGGAGATAAACTGGCACTATATTGCGACACTGTGATAATGTTTTAACTGTACAACCATATTGGGGGTGGTGGGGTAGCCTAGTGGTAAAAGTGTTTGCTCATCATGCCAAAGACCAGGGTTCGCTTCCCCACATGGGTACAATGTGTGAAGCCATATTCTCATGTCCCCTGCCATGATATTGCTGGAATACTTCTAAAGGCAGCGTAAGACTAAGCTGACTCACCCACTATACCCATATTCAGGCTCTGTGAACAAGCCTAATTAACTCGAAATTAGACAAGAAGCATATTTGTGTGCTAAAGGCCATCTCTAAAGTGAGTGAGTATGGTTTAATGCCGCTTTTAGCAATATTCCATCAATATCACGGCAGGGGACACCCAGAAAGAATGTGGGGAATCCAACCAGGTCTTCGGCGTGACGAGCGAAGGCTTTAACCACAAGGCTACCTCACCGCCCTGCCAACTCTAAAACAGATCAAATGTAATTCTAACATAAACTTTGTTGTTTGATTATCTCATTCCAAAAATACCCGCAACAATATAATCTGATTTTTACTGAGTAATAGTATAGTGCTTGGTGTATGCTTCAAGCAGCAGCAGAAGCACATGTAGACTTAACTTAATCTTGCTTAATTGAGTTTGAAACTGTATATATGCAAGTGATTTACTGTGATTTGAAACCTCTGAATGAAGTTCTTTTTTAAAATTCATTATGGCAAAAAGCTATGAAATGGGAGAGCAAGAAAAAGTATTCATGATAAACTATTCATAAAAGCAAATTCATATTCCACAATGCTGCAGTTTTCAAGCTAGGAAATGAGGTTTAACGTGACATTCAGTATTATTGCACATATATATATCAACTTCAAGGAGAAGAAGACATTGATGATTTTGATTATTTGGGTCACAAAAAATATTGTTCATCATGTCCTGAAAAAGTATTACTGGTAACAAATTGACAAATATGCAGTGTGTCTTAACACAAGATGCTTCACCAGACTTAAGGATTTTAGAAAAACAAAGACAAAAAATGCCCACATAACTAGCTCTGAATAGCTTATACCTTCAAATACATAGTGAAGCAGTACCCTTGAATCAGCATGGGAGAACACAAGTGGGCATATATGAATTTGAACCTTGAATCAGCACGGGAGAACACAAGTGGGCATACATGAATTTGAACCTTGAATCAGCATGGGAGAGCGCCAGTGGGCATACATGAATTTAAACCTTGAATCAGCATGGGAGAACACAGTGGGCATACATGAATTTGAACCTTGAATCAGCATGGGAGTCAACCAAGTCAGCATACATGAATTTAAACCTTGAATTAACATGGGAGAACGCAAGTGGGCATACATGAATTTGAACCTTGAATCAGCATGGGAGAACACAAGTGGGCATACATGAATTTGAACCTTGAATCAGCATGGGAGAACACAAGTGGGCATACATGAATTTGAACCTTGAATCAGCATGGGAGAACGCAAGTGGGCATACATGGATTTGAACCTTGAATCAGCATGGGAGAACACAAGTCGGCATACATGAATTTGAATCTTGAATCAACATGGGAGAACACAAGTCGGCATACATGAATTTGAACCTTGAATAAACATGAAGTGGGCATACATGAACCTTGAATCAGCATGGGAATCAGCATACATGGAGAACCTTGCAGTGGGCGCCAGTGGGCATGAATTTGAACCTTGAATCAGCATGGGAGAACATGAAGTGGGCATACATGAATTTGAACCTTGAATCAGCATGGGAGAACACAAGTGGGCATACATGAATTTGAACCTTGAATCAGCATGGGAGCCAGTGGGCATACATGAATTTGAACCTTGGGCATGGGAGAACACAAGTGGGCATACATGAATTTGAACCTTGAATCAGCATGGGAGAACACAAGTGGGCATACATGAATTTGAACCTTGAATCAGCATGGGAGAACACAAGTGGGCATACATGAATTTGAAAGTGGGCATGGGAGACATGGAGTTGAATTTTGAATCAGCATGGGAGAACACGCCAGTGGGCATACATGAATTTGAACCTTGAATCAGCATCAAGTGGGCATACATGAATTTGAACCTTATCAGCATGGCATGGCTGAATTTGAACCTTGGAAGCTAGCTAATCTGCCAACAAATAGTTGCATCCCACATAGCTAGCATTGAACAGCTCATATCTTCAAATACATAGTGAAGCCACTTCATTTGAGAAAAAAGGCAAGTAGGAACACATGAATTATAATGACCAGCAGATCTTGGCATGACTAAGGGAAGCAACTCTGTGAACAAATGGTTGCACCCAAGATAACAGAGGCATGTTTATTCAAAAAGACAAAAGAAACTTCTCATAACTACACAAAACTCCAACACTTCTATGGGTCTTAAGTTCAGGAAACCTATACAATGTACCACCTATTGCTGCGTCTGCTTGTCGACAGTTCAGTGAATCCCATGTCAATGGATTGTCAGTCACATTTCTGTATGTCCTGACATGGACTGGCATCTGTCTGTACGTGGTCGTGAATGTGATACACTTAGACCGAGAGGAACTACTATTACTATAGTTTAGAATGTCAAGGTTGTTTGTGGGGATTGTTTATTTATCAAAATGGCAAATATCATTGACAAATATTCATTCTTTTGGCCAGTTTGTTAATAAATCTGTCTAGAAACACATTCAACAGATTTTCATGCAAACCTAATGTGGGATGAAAAAAATCATCATCATCATCATCATCATCATCATCATCATCATCAGAGCAAAGGCAAAGTGGCACAACTAGCATATTTGTTCTTTCGTTGTTTTACACTCAGGAATATTTCAGCTCTATGTTGGCGGTCTGTAAATAATCAAGTCTGGACCAACCAGACAATACAGTGATCAACATCATGAGCATCAATCCAAGCAGATGGAATATGATGACGTGTCAACCACACCAGCAAACCACAACACCTGATCCCGTTAGTCGCCTCTTACGACAAGCATGGGTTGCTGAAGACCAATTCTAACCCGCATCTTCACGGGTACAACTAGTCTGAGTGAATGTTGTTAAAATACTAGAGTACTCTAAGTATATGACTGTTGGGTAAGAGTTCTTCCCGTTCCCACCATCCCAAATAATATGTATAAATCAATATACATTAAAATTATTAACAAAACCTAACACAACAATTACTAGGGAACTCACAAAAATAACTAAAAGCCCAAACATTAATTACAATATATAGGGTCGAATCACGTTGTATGATAAGGGCCCCAGGCACGGTAATGTTACAAAAAAATAATATGGGGGAACGGAAGGAACTCTTTCCGACTGTTGTCGGTGTGTAATTCGAGTCTGGACCAGGCAAACCAGGGATTGAAATCATGAACACCATTCTGCATCCCCCAATAAGACAAACAAGGAGGTTTTGTCAGCCCTGATCACATTACATAACCCCTCCCAGGTCTTGCCTGTATATTTCTGGCTTCAGGTGAGGTAAGGCTTGTGGCTTTTGTCAATCCTGATTACATAACCTCTCCCAGGCCTCATTTCTTTACACCACTTATCTTATGTACAGCTTTTGTCTGTCCTAAACACATTACATAACCTCTCCCAGGCCTCAATTCTTTACACCACTTATCTGATGTACAGCTTTTGTCTGTGCTGATCACATTACATAACCTCTACAGAGCCTCATTCTGCTCTTCTCTACAGTGGTCACCCTCCCTCTGCACATTGTTACCTGAACATTTGTTCCTCAAACCCTATTTTATAGAGCAGTTAAGAAAATTTATTGATTTTATAAAAATATGAAAAACCCCAATATTTCCATGACAACAAATAACAAAAACAGTTAATTATCCAGCTGCAAATGTTTACCCAAATATTTCACATTAAGCAATTGACATCATTGAAGGCTAAATGTAATGTGACGCAAGCACTAAGGCCAATTAAAATTGTTTTTCTTTTATTTTTCTCCCTGTCCCCAAATACTGACAAGAGAAATTTCTACAGACCCATTTCAAGACCCTATGCCAATATCAGCAAATATCAAAATGCATATGTAACCTTGACAATCTTTAATTAGGTTCCACAGAGTCAACAATGCAATATACATAGTCTAAGTCTTTACCTTGGGTTGTGCATTGCAAACAGTGGGGCGGAAATCTATTACTCCGAGCATAGCGCCTATTGAACACACGCCCTTATCGCTATGTCAAGTCAGTTAAACACATCTTCTGCCTTGCCTCTTCCCTGACAAGCAATAAGTTTGTGTATAGCCAGTTGACAAGTATTGTTCCACCATAGGATTTGAGCTTGGTGCAGCTAGCCTCTGTCAATTAAAGCTACAATGAGTACATACCCATTTTTGTTCCCCGTGAAATAATGTACCTTGTTAAACCTGTGTAATTTCTATCATTATTCAATAACACCTCATTCTCTTTAAACATTCTGTCATGATTAGCTTGAGATATTATTTCTTCTGATTGTATACATCAATATTCTAAATCTACATACAAATACATAATACTACATTCAAATCTTCAAACACTACATTATACCATGTCCCTTTAGGTGATCTAATTTCACGAGGGTCAAATTTCTCATAACACCTACTACATTGATTTAGAATACATTGTTGGCAAGCTTGTGAGTCTGGGCTGTGGATTTGAGTATTAAATAATCATTACATCCTTTTCTTTGGATGTTGATTGAACAACAAAAAATAAGCGTTGCTGACAAACACATAAAGTGCACCTCTAATGCAAGATTTATGTACATCAATGTGTTAAGTAGATTAAACTAAAACAAAATGACATCATCTCAAGTTAGATTCGTGTCTTGGATGAATTTGTGAAGCTTTATAACCAGAGAAAGAAATATCACAGCTGGTTTTAATTCCAAGGAGTTATCTGCCCTTTCTGACCTTGTAATGGTGGTCTGGCCCTATCTGTCCTTTTATCAGAGTCAGTTGTCATTCTTCCAATGAATATTTTTTATGATGAAAAATACAAAAGTATTGACCACCAGGTGTCCAAAGAGACACAATTATGAGTGAGTGAGTTTACTTTACATCGCTTTAAGCAATATTCAAGCAAAATCACGGCAGGGACACCAGAAATGGGCTCCACGCATTGTACCCATGTGGGGAATTGAACTCGGGTCTTCGGTGTGACAAGCAAATGCTTTAACCACTAGGCTACCCATCACCCCCGGGAAATAATAGAAATAGAACTGAACTTCCTGACTGTCCAACTTAGTTTGAGGACTTGCATAATCAGAACCATAACATTTATTTGTAAGGCCTTACTATGTAGAAAACAGGATGTGCATGCAGTTATTGCAGTACGTATTGCAATATGCACCCCTGGATCACAATACTATCTACTTGCCAATACAGCTCTAGACGGTGGGGTAGCCTAGTGGTTAAAGCGTTCGTTCGTCACGCCGAAGACCTGGGTTCGAATCCCCACATGGGTACATTGTGTGAAGCTCATTTCTGGTGTCCCCCGCCGTGATGTTGCTGGAATATTGCTAAAAGCGGCGTAAAACCAAACTCACTTACTCACTCACTCACTAGACGGTGGTATGAATATACAGTGAGATCCCGGATACCCGGACACATTCCTTTTGGCGTAAATCATCCGTATAACAGAATATCTGGATATCTGGATTTTTTTCATCCAGGCTTTGGTGTTAAAATGGTAGCAAGCATACACTTCTGGTTTAAAATCACTTCCAAAACAGCATGGACGTTTTGATTTGCCAATTACAATTCACTCTGTGTCAGATAGGCCTACTAATCACCACCAATTCTAGTGTATAAAACATAGCCCTTCCCACCGTCCTTGACAGTGTATTTTTGTGAAGGACGGTCTATTAAATGTGTAAGGCTGTCGTTTGGTCGAGGGAAATAATTGAAAAAAAATAAACTTCACTTGGTTTGAACTTCGTCATATCTATTATTTTTTCATTGTTTTAGATTTTGGGACTGGCTCACTTTTTGGGACAGCCAGTCCTTGGACAGGTCATTTTTCAAAACTATTTTAGACACTGACAATACCCTGCTGGTCAGTCATTAAACCCGGATTAGCAGACCTTGTCTCTTGTCAAGACGAGAGTGGAAGGTCGTGGGTTCGATCCCCGACCGCATCATACCAAAAGACGTTAAAATATGGTACTTGTTGGTCCCTGCCTGGCGCTCGGCATTAATGGGTACAAGAAGGACTGGTCTGCTCTTAGTCAGTATAATGTGTCTGAGTGGGGTATTCATGCTTCACTGCGGCATGGTATGTCAGTGGGCTAGCACTATAAAACCAGCTTAAGTCTGGGCTAGTACAAGCAGCCGCACATACACATACACACACACGTCGTCATATGAGCGAAATATTCTCAAGCACGACGTTAAACCCAATTTCACCTCACCTCTTGCCAAGACAGTGAGACTCTCGCACTTCACATCACACGGTCAGCAGAAGATCAGCTTCATGCTGATAAGTGATTCCATTTTGTGTTGATTTAGCCCATTAATTTGTAAAATTTACAGTCCGGAAATGGAAACTGCATATCCATTATAGACAGTCACATTTATAACGTTTTTAATTATGAAAATTCACCCACAGGCGAGGTTGGTTTCCGTGTATCTGGGGTCTCACTGTAATCCCATCTAGACAAGGCAACCCAGTGATTGACGTCATGAGCATCGATCCAAGCAACAGGGATATGACAACATGTATCAACTACGGCAGCGAGAATAATCTGAGAGCTGGGACTGCTAGGTTCCAGGTTTACAGACACATGTCTGAAGATAAGAATCATTGATCTTGACGGTACCAGGAATCAAGCTTACATTGATCATACTTACACATACAGACAAAGCCATACATAATAAGATTCCTGAGAAACAAAGGACACAGTTGTGATAGTAGCCAGACACCTGTGCGTGAGACAGATAGTGTGTGTAGATAGTGAGGGAGAGAGAAAGAGGGAGAGGGGAGGAAGGAGGGAGAGGAGAGAGAGAGAATAAAGAGTGAAAGAAAGAATCAATCCTCTTAACAAAGACTGAAATAAGGGGAAGGAGAAAAAGGAAGGAAGAAGGTAGAGTGAGAGCAAGAGAGAATAAAGACTGAAAGAAAGAGTATCATATCCTCTTAACAACAGCAATACTGATATCACACCTTCTTAACACTTACAGCAATATTGATATCACACATTCTTAACACTTACAGCAATATTGATATCATACATTCTTAACACTTACAGCAATATTGATATCACACATTCTTAACACAGCAATATCGATATACCTCTTAACACTTACAGCAATACTGATATAATACCTTAACACAGCAATATTGATATCATACCCTCTTTAACACTTACAGCAATATTGATATACCCTCTTAACACAGCAATATTGATATCATACCTTCTGAACACTTACAGCAATATTGATATCACACCTTCTTAACACTTACAGCAATATTGATATCATACATTCTTAACACTTACAGCAATATTGATATCATACCTTCTTAACACAGCAATATTGATATCACACCTTCTTAACACTTACAGTAATATTGATATCATACTCTTAACACTTACAGCAATATTGATATCATACCTTCTTAACACTTACAGCAATATTGATATCATACCCTCTTAACACTTACAGCAATATTGATATCATACCTTCTTAACACTTACAGCAATATTGATATCATACCTTCTTAACAGTAATATTGATATCATACCCTCTTAACACTTATAGCAATATTGATATCATACCCTCTTAACACTTACAGCAATATTGATATCATACCCTCTTAACACTTACAGCAATATTGATATCATACCCTCTTAACACTTACAGCAATATTGATATCATACCTTCTGAACACTTACAGTAATATTGATATCATACCTTAACACAGCAATATTGATATCATACCTTCTTAACACTTACAGTAATATTGATATCATACCTTAACACAGCAATATTGATATCATACCGTCTTAACACTTACAACAATATTGATATCATACCTTCTTAACACAGCAATATTGATATCATACCCTCTTAACACTTACAGTAATATTGATATCATACCTTAACACAGCAATATTGATATCATACCTTCTTAACACTTACAGTAATATTGATATCATACTCTCTTAACACTTACAGCAATATTGATATCATACCTTCTTAACACAGCAATATTGATATCATACCCTCTTAACACTTACAGCAATATTGATATCATACCTTCTTAACACAGCAATACTGATATCATACCCTCTTAACACTTACAGCAATATTGATATCATACCCTCTTAACACAGCAATACTGATATCATACCCTCTTTACACTTACAGCAATATTGATATCATACCCTCTTAACACTTACAGTAATATTGATATCATACCCTCTTAACACTTACAGCAATATTGATATCATACCTTCTTAACACAGCAATACTGATATCATACCTTAACACATACAGCAATATTGATATCATACCTTCTTAACACTTACAGCAATATTGATATCATGCCTTCTTAACACTTACAGCAATATTGATATACCATAACACAGCAATATTGATATCATACCTTCTTAACACTTACAGCAATATTGATATCATACCTTCTTAACACTTACAGCAATATTGATATCATACCTTCTTAACACTGACAGTAAGATTCTGCCCTGTCAAACTCACATTTGACTGAACATTAATGGTGAGACTTCATTTATAGTTGTATTATATACAGCAATGATGCAATGATATTAACTATTCTTGCTTATAAACAGATTCTATATAATATAACTAGCAAGAAACAAAATGCTAATTTATCAAAAACTGTCCCCAATAATGATACTTAATGATACAATATGATATCAGAGATACAGCCACGCTTCCTAAACTCACCAACACCATCACACGCGTGACTAACGCTTTTGCTGATTTGGCAAAAATTACACAAGTCAATTTCGATCGATCGCATACTGCACTGAACATCAATTGCTGTAATTGGCCTTAGTTCCTGCGGTATGTCTCGAATCTCCCATTCCTGATGGTACGTAATAGGCCGCCCTGGTATCTAAAGATAGCGACTCAACATGTTATCTACTACATGAAATATACATCATTCTGGAATGAGATTCAGTACTGGGATGGTTCAGTCGGTGGGAAATGTACGCCTAATGACTACATCCGTAATTTAGGATGATGTGCTTTCACTATGTGGTTTTCGTGATTTCCCATGGGGATATGAAAAGGAAT